AATATTTTAGCTATTTGCCAATCATTTTACCAAATAATGAGGACATCTATATTTGCTACAAAATAACTAATTATATTAGCATAAGATAAACGAATCAAGCATTAAATAAGTATTATTCCATCTAACAGGCATGTCTAATGCAAAAGTTCTAGGAGACATATTTGATTTTATACAAGCGTCTTAAAATTCAGCATTTATTTTATTACTACTAGTAATCCAAGCTAAACAATCTCTACTTCTATTAATTTTTTTAATTATTTTCATACCACTTTTCACAATTAAATTAATAACATGGCATGCACAACGTTGGTGAAAAAACTTGAAATTGTATATAAAGGATAATTACTTTGAAAATAATCTATAACTTTACTATTAGAACTTGCATTATCTAAAGTTAAACTTATCACTTTACTAACAATACATAGTCTTCTAAAACTTCAACAATTTTATTATAAATTGTTCATCACTATGATCAACATCCATTAATCTAAATCCTAATAAAGATTTATATTTAAATTCATTATCAAAATAATGACTAGTTATACAAATATAATCTTGTTTAGCTTACCACTCCAAATATCGGCAGTTAGAGTCACACACTAACATGAAGTATGTATTTATTTTTTACTTCGCAATTCTACCAGATTCCGGCCATTTTCCGGTGGTGGTGGCCGAAATCTGGTAAATGTGGATTATTGGGGTGTTTTTGTAATTTAAAAAAAATATTTAGGGGTATTTAATTAAATTATCAAATTTAAGGGGTTTAAAAAAAGTTGAATAATTTTGGGAGTAGTATTCCCAAAAATCTGAATTTTTGGGTATTTTACTGTTTAACTTTTTTGGGAATACTAAAAGTAGTATTCCCAAATGTGAGACAAACGCAGCCTAAGACTTTTTATTTTTTCTGTTAAAGTTAACTCCGATTAACTGTTAAATGTACCTAAACTGAAAGATTTGACATTTGGGTCTTTTTTGAGTATTTTAATAAAATAGTATACGTAAGTTGATGATTCTGTGTAAAAGTGCACTTATCAAATACTCTCGACGATCGGGTTAAAAACCTTCTCTCTTTATTTACGCCGTACACCAAATTTTAAAAAAAAAAAACTAGCCAAAATACGTAAATTATTGACAAGTCTTTTACTGAAAAGAAACAAGCAAAGGACATCTACGTCTTTTAGTTTAATGGAAATAATAAAACAATAATTTATAAGATAAAATAATCTCTAATTCACAAATTAACTCTTAATTTCATAAAATTATATACGTATGAGCTATCGATATGTTCCCACCCAAGGTAAAGCGAAAGAGTAAATGTCTTTTCCCACCCTAAGGTTTGCCTTAATGACACTTTTCCACCAAAAAATACTACTTTCTCACTCAAAGTTTATAGTCCAACCAATCGCTGTCCGATTTCAACATCTTTATGACCCCAAACTACCATTATTCTCTTCCCCAATCATCACTCACCCAAATCCCTCAAACCTTACTCTCACCAACCCCGTTAATTGTCAACAATCGAGCAATCTGTGAAACGCACAACTGCCCCTCCTAAGTCATATTCCAACCAATTCCGACTACCAAAATCTAGCATGCCACCACCAAAAGACTCACCAGCATCCTTTCTTCAAAAGTCACAACAGTCTAGATCGAGTTTGTTCTCTATTGGCCGCCAAATCGGAAAGTGTATTATAGGTAGTAAATGAAATATAAACTTTCGGTGGGAAAGTGATATTTTGAAACTTTTTTGGTAAAAAAGTGTCATTAAAGCAAACCTTGGGTGGAAAAAAGTTGTTTACTCTAAAGCGAAATGGCAAGTTCCCGCCCATCACGTTTCAAAACTTAACCATTTCCCATCAAACCTAAACACTCAAACCCTACATCTATCATTTCCAAATACCATAGCTATGAAATCAGACCCCTAAACACCATACAAATCACCCTAAAAAAATCAAAATCACTTCTTTCGCAAGCATTATAATCCAGTCACCTCTTTAGATTTTTCTTTGCTGTCATTTTCCACCTTTTTGAGAGAACTTTTATATTTTACATTCATAAATCCCTTGGATAGTTTTTCCATGTCAAAATCCTTCTTTTATGCTCAAAATTGAAGTCAAAAGACACAATTAGAGGTGGAAAAGCAACCCGCCCGGCCCGACCCTCAGCAGGTTGCTGTTAATGGCGGGTCGGTCCTGACCCACCCTATAACATTGGTAGGCCGAGTTAGGCCCGCCAATGTTAGGAAATTGGCTGGCCCAACCCAGATCGCCAACCCTAACCCACCGGGTTAGGCCACGGGTTGGGCCGGGTTAACCCTCTTTTTGATTTTTTTTTAATTTATTTTGTTTTATTTTGTTTAAGTTTAAATGTTTAATTAACTTTTCAAATGAATAATTAACAATTTATAAATAAATAAATGTAATTGTTTTTAGTTAATTGTTAATTTCTTTTCAAATATCAATAATTAAATTATTATTATTATTATTATTTTTGGTTAACATTCCAAATATTAATTCAATTTTAATACATTAAAATTGTAATATAAGAATAATTAAATTTATTCATTTATTAAAAAATAAAATAAGAAATTACAATAATTATTACCTCGTTAAAAACCTCACCAAGAAAAATCCAATAGGACAAAAACTTGGTAAGGAAAAAAGAGTGCAATAATTGACAATTAGTTTACAATTTACAAAACAACTAATTTTGGGGTTCACTAGAACCTCCCTCATCCGTATCATCTATATTATAAAATTGAAATGATTCTATTAAAGTATCGTCGACAACCTCGTATTAACCTTGATGGCGCGACCGTTCCCAATCTCGAAGACATGTGAGGACTTCAATCATTTGTGGTGAAAGTTTAATCCTCCTTTCATTTAAAATTCTTCCACTTGCACTAAATGTTTGTTCGGGTGAGACGGTTGAGACAGGAACAGCGAAAACATCCAAGGCAAGTCTTGATAATATTGGAAAAATACATTTTCTAGCTCTCCAATAGTCTAAGAGATCAATGTTGGCTCTCTGTTATGGATTTACTGGTAACATTTCAGGGGTTGCCAACTATTGTTGAAGCTCATTACTCTACGACTGCATGGAAGACAGTACATTAGTTGCTGTTGTTGGTGGAGCTTCTGAAGAGGAGGTTGTGCTTCGGATTCGGGTCCTCTTCGGCCTATTCAGTGCACCCCAAGAGTAGAAGTCTTCATTTGTTTCTTCTGATGCAACTTCCCTGGATGTTTTGCCTCTTTGCGGGTTCCCATACCTGTTTTCATACTGAAAATATACTTCAAAAAGTGTATTTTTTACCTCTCCTATTTGATTGCCATATACTTTGGTTTGTAAAGTTTCACATAAATTGTCAAAACCATTTTCTAAACGTACTAATTTAATTCTAGGATCAAATATAGTACCTAAACAATAAAGAAAATGAATGGGTTCCCAATATTTAAAAAAAAAAAATTCAATTGCCTTTATTGGTGCATTTAAAATTACATTGTCTTTGTTTTTTATAAATAATTCGGAAATTTTTATAATTATATGTATTACCAATGGACTAGTAAGATAATACACACCAAAAAGTTGTAAAATAGATTGGTAAAAAGTTTTAAAAAAAGAATGAAATATTTTAGCTATTTGCCAATCATTTTCTACCAAATAATGAGGACATCTATTATTTGCTACAAAATAACTAATTATATTAGCATAAGATAAACATGAATCAAGCATTAAATAAGTATTATTCCATCTAACAGGCATGTCTAATGCAAAAGTTCTAGGAGACATATTTGATTTTATACAAGCGTCTTAAAATTCAGCATTTATTTTATTACTACTAGTAATCCAAGCTAAACAATCTCTACTTCTATTAATATTTTCTTTAATTATTTTCATACCACTTTTCACAATTAAATTAATAACATGGCATGCACAACGTTGGTGAAAAAACTTGAAATTGTTATATAAAGGATAATTACTTTGAAAATAATCTATAACTTTACTATTAGAACTTGCATTATCTAAAGTTAAACTTATCACTTTACTAACAANGTGTTATGTTCAATGTAATTGGATTATTGCTAATTAATATGACTTTTGATATTTTTTAGTAAGTGTTTGCATGTTATTGGTTATGGTTATTTTGATTTAAATGTTTTATTGTTATTGGATGAGTTTAAAATTTTCAGATTTATATTAAATGTTAAATGATAATACGTTTTATAAAAAAACATTTTTCGTTATTAGGTTTGATATTTTTGTTTAATTGAATGTGAATGGGTAAAGATATATTAATATTAATAATAATTAATTGAATGTGAAGGGGTACAAAAATATTAATATTAATTAATAATAGTAATTAATATACATGAATGAAACTTGAATATTAATGGATTAATAAAATGTATTATTGAATTTGATGAATGTAAAAAATACGTCATATCTTTATCAAATTAAAAGAAGAATATGAAAGATCTCAAATTAAAAGAAAAATGTGAAAAATTTGTATTGAATACATTAATTGAATGCATGTGAATAATTTCTATTATAACAATCTCTTAATATTCATGGAAATCAATAACACACAAGCAAATCATTAGTAATTTATCAAATTAAAAGAGGGATATGAAAGATTTGTATTGAATATATTAATTGAATGCATGTGAATAATCTCTATTATAGCAAGCCCAATAAACAGCAAACACGTGGACTAATTAACGACATCCTACATGATGATCATATATCAATCCTACGTGGCGTTAGAAGAAACAGTATGCTTCAGCATTATATAAATATATAGATTCTAGGAGTTGAATTGTTGTTACTTGTTAGTCTCAAAATAGGGCTGGGGAGGGATGTTTGGTTAATAATTTATATAAAAATAAAAAGAAGAAGAGGGGGGCAACGCGCCCATATTTTCTCTACCAATTTCTCTATATTTCCCTTTTGAAGATAAGGAAGAAGGCCATCCACAAAACAAAACCATACAGCAAAACAAATTAAACGAACTTAAAAGATAACAAAAACCACTAAACTGTTGGGTCACAAAGAGCAGGAAAATAAACAAACAAAAAGGATTATTTACAACCTATACAAAATTCCATAGGCTATTACAATAAGATCTCTTCAATTCAAAGTTTACCGACAACCTCCCTGCTCTGCAGTCCCTTCAGCTGTCTGTCTGTATGTATTGTTACTTCTTTAAGTAAGTGAGATAAGGTTCTTGTGCAAGAGTTAAAACATCTGGCCTTTCTGCTTGATTGTATGTTAGGCACCGCCGAATTAAGTCCTGCATGGAATATCCGAGAAAGGAAATGAAGAAATGCATCACTAGCGTCTTCTATTCCAAAGCACGAAGAAATTTGAAAAATGAAAACATGCAGCAGTAACTACCGAAATGAGGTGGAACTCACCTTTGCCTCATTTGAGACAGCAGGCCTTGAGGGGAATTCAACCTTGCGAGCTTTAATAATTGTGTCTTCACGAAGTATCCGTTCTTGCGTCTGATCATGCCCAAAAGGGCGTCGACCAAAAAGCATTTGGTAAAATAGAATACCAGCTGACCAAACATCCACCTGTTTCCCAGAAAATAGCATGTCAAAGACAGACTACAAATAGAGTATATAACAAAGAGTGAGTTATTTGGAGCACCATGTGCCTCGAGAGACCAACTGTAAGGTACACAGTACAGATACTCTGTAAAGGTAGAAATGCCACATAAGTTGGAGTAATCAACATAGCAGGGGAGGCATTTGCTCCACTTTATATGCATTTATTCATTTACATGTATACACAGAGTGAGGGGATATGGGTGTGGTTGAAGTCACTGACCTTCGACGAAATAAGAGGGGTCTTGCTGAGCTCGAAGCACTCTGGAGGCAAATACCTAAACATACAATATCAAGAGGAACATCATTTGAAACTAATTCAATTTTTCTGAGAATATATCTAAATTCAGTGATCAAGTTATAAATGAATGCGCTAAAAATAAAGGTTACAGCAAGAGGATAAGAATGGTATAAAACTCTTTCCTACAAAGGATTAAAAAAATTAACGAAGAATACTCTTGAAATTGAAAAAGCAATTGACAAAGAGGATTTCTCAGTTAGCAAACCCGGCATCTTTAAACAGGAAGAATAATGAAACTTCAGTCATCCAAATATAGATGCTGTACTGCATCACTCACCAATATGTTCCAGCTCCCTGGGACGTAAGTTCCATACCCTGGGATCCAACATCATCCTCCACTATCTTGCTAAGACCAAAATCGGTCACTTTTGCAACACCAAACTCATCAAATAGGACATTCCCAGGTTTCAAATCATAATGTATAATCTTCTGTGCTCTTTTATTCAAGTAGATAAGGCCCTGAAATATCTGAACAATGATTATTCTAGCTTCCCTCTCAGGCAATACAGGTGTTGCTTTCAGAACAGCATCAAGATCTTTCCCTGAAAATAAAAAGATGCAAATATGTAAGTAGGGAAGGTAGGTTCTCTGAGTTTAATTATTGTTCTAACCAGAGATCGATTTCTTCACTTCCTTGTAACTAAATAAGACATTCAGATTTTATGAAATTGAGTTAAGAGTATGTATACCACTACAGTACTCCAATACAGTACAAAATGTATTCTGGTCAATCTCAAAAGTGTCCCAGAGCCGAACAATGTGATGATGCACCAAAGTCTTGTGAATATTGTACTCCCGAATAGCATGCCGTATGTAACTTTGCTTCTTATCTTCGCTCCATTGAGCATTCAGACCATGAAGCTTACATGCGACGTATCTATGCTCTACCAAGTCATAAGCCTGCTGGAAATTTCTTACTTCAAATCACTGCAAAAAGGTATAATTTTACAATTGCCAACATTGGCAAGGAATTGCTCTAAACTTCTATCAAATAGAAGCCTTGGTTATATTTGTGCCAAAAATAGGATAACCATCTACAGAGAGTAATGCTCAAAATCCTGACCTTGTAAACCTCACTGAATCCTCCTTTCCCAAGAAGATTTAAGAGTGCATATCTGTGGTTCAGAATCTGAAAATTGTTAAAACGAGAGCCATCCTCATCTCGTATGCGTTTCATTTCACGAATAAGCCTTCCCTTTTCTAGCTCATAACGATCTCTCTCTCGCAAAACAATTTCTTCCTCCTACAAAATATCCAGCAACTAAATCATAAAGGACATATTTGAACAAGAGTAGTGAAATTGATGTAGGAAAAAAATTTACGTTAGTTATTCTTCTTATTTTATTTTCTTACTCAACCTGTCTTAAAGAATTAGAATTTCTGTTTTATTTTACTTTCATCATTTCTCTTTCCTTAAGTAAGATCTTAATTTTACACTTTGGAGATTAGTAAATATATGAGTCACTCTAAGCAGAAGAGATAAGCATTAGTCTTGTCATCTCAATTACTTCCTTGGTAATACTATTTCAATTGTTTTGCTCCTCAAGGAATAAAATTCTTTTGAATTGAGTTTTACTTTATATCTTTTCTGCAACATCAAGTGGTACCAAAGCCTTGATCAGTCTGATGGCAAATACCAATAACCAATCCAGTTGTGCAGATCAGGAAGGCAGGCCTTTAGGTAGTTTTCCATACCCATGATAAGTGACATGAAAGGATAGAACACATGCTAAAATTGGCTACACTTTGGCCTTGTGGCAATAAGAAACGTAACCTAGATCAAGTTTAGGCAGACGAGGTGGATCATGGACAATGGTTCATGAGAATGATCTTTTACACGACATATAGTCTATGTAAATTCATCTATTTATGATTGTGGGTAGATGGCGAACATAGTAGTAGAAGATGTACACTCTAAAGATGTAAAAGAACTTGATCATGAGCAAGAAAATCGTTATGAAGATGTAGACATTACTATAGAAGCAGATGAAAGGAATAGAGTTTTGTGTGGTGTAGACAAGATCAATAGTTCATATATATGTCATGCCAAGAAAATTGACGAGTGACTATAATTAAGATATGCCCAAAACTTTTAAAGAAGAGGAATAATTTTTTCTACATTTTCTTAGTTGATTGACAAATCAAATATAAGGGTTGAGAACATACCAGAAATTGAATTTGAAGTCAAACCAAATGTCAAGAAATATCTCATATATGCCAGAATGCATTCGTCAAAACTGAAAGACAAGAAACACGATATCTCTGGGAAAAAATGATGATGAAGATTATGTCTTCAATTGACCAGATGACTTAACAATTTAATTGAAGCCATATCCTCCTGATTCTTAATATAACTCAATGACAAGTTCTATCTAAGTGGGGAGATTGATGTGGGACAAAAATTTAGGAAAATAAAATTATTTAGGAATATCTTTCATAATTAATTTTCTTATTTACCATTTGCTTCAGCTAAGAAAGTAATTCTTAAAATCAATGACCATAAAATTAATAATATAGAAATCCTGAAAATACAAATCATACATAAGAGGCTAACTTACACGTTTGATGCTTGCTAGACGGGATTTATAAATCTCATCCTGAATGAAGAAATCTTCTTCTTGTATTCCTGATTCTGTTTCCACTGTATCACCCTTGTCTTCAAACAATAGTAAACACAGTTAGCATCCAGAATGTTGCCAAAGAAACAATGATGACTGAGATACCTAGAATCTCTCGACCTCTCATTGCATGTTCATGGAGTTATAATCTGGGAACTACTTCTGGACCCTACAATCTTAATAGCTATGGAAGTTGTAGGATATATATCTCAAGTAGATGCCTAGACATATTTTCTCTACCAATTTCTCTATATTTCCCTTTTGAAGATAAGGAAGAAGGCCATCCACAAAACAAAACCATACAGCAAAACAAATTAAACGAACTTAAAAGATAACAAAAACCACTAAACTGTTGGGTCACAAAGAGCAGGAAAATAAACAAACAAAAAGGATTATTTACAACCTATACAAAATTCCATAGGCTATTACAATAAGATCTCTTCAATTCAAAGTTTACCGACAACCTCCCTGCTCTGCAGTCCCTTCAGCTGTCTGTCTGTATGTATTGTTACTTCTTTAAGTAAGTGAGATAAGGTTCTTGTGCAAGAGTTAAAACATCTGGCCTTTCTGCTTGATTGTATGTTAGGCACCGCCGAATTAAGTCCTGCATGGAATATCCGAGAAAGGAAATGAAGAAATGCATCACTAGCGTCTTCTATTCCAAAGCACGAAGAAATTTGAAAAATGAAAACATGCAGCAGTAACTACCGAAATGAGGTGGAACTCACCTTTGCCTCATTTGAGACAGCAGGCCTTGAGGGGAATTCAACCTTGCGAGCTTTAATAATTGTGTCTTCACGAAGTATCCGTTCTTGCGTCTGATCATGCCCAAAAGGGCGTCGACCAAAAAGCATTTGGTAAAATAGAATACCAGCTGACCAAACATCCACCTGTTTCCCAGAAAATAGCATGTCAAAGACAGACTACAAATAGAGTATATAACAAAGAGTGAGTTATTTGGAGCACCATGTGCCTCGAGAGACCAACTGTAAGGTACACAGTACAGATACTCTGTAAAGGTAGAAATGCCACATAAGTTGGAGTAATCAACATAGCAGGGGAGGCATTTGCTCCACTTTATATGCATTTATTCATTTACATGTATACACAGAGTGAGGGGATATGGGTGTGGTTGAAGTCACTGACCTTCGACGAAATAAGAGGGGTCTTGCTGAGCTCGAAGCACTCTGGAGGCAAATACCTAAACATACAATATCAAGAGGAACATCATTTGAAACTAATTCAATTTTTCTGAGAATATATCTAAATTCAGTGATCAAGTTATAAATGAATGCGCTAAAAATAAAGGTTACAGCAAGAGGATAAGAATGGTATAAAACTCTTTCCTACAAAGGATTAAAAAAATTAACGAAGAATACTCTTGAAATTGAAAAAGCAATTGACAAAGAGGATTTCTCAGTTAGCAAACCCGGCATCTTTAAACAGGAAGAATAATGAAACTTCAGTCATCCAAATATAGATGCTGTACTGCATCACTCACCAATATGTTCCAGCTCCCTGGGACGTAAGTTCCATACCCTGGGATCCAACATCATCCTCCACTATCTTGCTAAGACCAAAATCGGTCACTTTTGCAACACCAAACTCATCAAATAGGACATTCCCAGGTTTCAAATCATAATGTATAATCTTCTGTGCTCTTTTATTCAAGTAGATAAGGCCCTGAAATATCTGAACAATGATTATTCTAGCTTCCCTCTCAGGCAATACAGGTGTTGCTTTCAGAACAGCATCAAGATCTTTCCCTGAAAATAAAAAGATGCAAATATGTAAGTAGGGAAGGTAGGTTCTCTGAGTTTAATTATTGTTCTAACCAGAGATCGATTTCTTCACTTCCTTGTAACTAAATAAGACATTCAGATTTTATGAAATTGAGTTAAGAGTATGTATACCACTACAGTACTCCAATACAGTACAAAATGTATTCTGGTCAATCTCAAAAGTGTCCCAGAGCCGAACAATGTGATGATGCACCAAAGTCTTGTGAATATTGTACTCCCGAATAGCATGCCGTATGTAACTTTGCTTCTTATCTTCGCTCCATTGAGCATTCAGACCATGAAGCTTACATGCGACGTATCTATGCTCTACCAAGTCATAAGCCTGCTGGAAATTTCTTACTTCAAATCACTGCAAAAAGGTATAATTTTACAATTGCCAACATTGGCAAGGAATTGCTCTAAACTTCTATCAAATAGAAGCCTTGGTTATATTTGTGCCAAAAATAGGATAACCATCTACAGAGAGTAATGCTCAAAATCCTGACCTTGTAAACCTCACTGAATCCTCCTTTCCCAAGAAGATTTAAGAGTGCATATCTGTGGTTCAGAATCTGAAAATTGTTAAAACGAGAGCCATCCTCATCTCGTATGCGTTTCATTTCACGAATAAGCCTTCCCTTTTCTAGCTCATAACGATCTCTCTCTCGCAAAACAATTTCTTCCTCCTACAAAATATCCAGCAACTAAATCATAAAGGACATATTTGAACAAGAGTAGTGAAATTGATGTAGGAAAAAAATTTACGTTAGTTATTCTTCTTATTTTATTTTCTTACTCAACCTGTCTTAAAGAATTAGAATTTCTGTTTTATTTTACTTTCATCATTTCTCTTTCCTTAAGTAAGATCTTAATTTTACACTTTGGAGATTAGTAAATATATGAGTCACTCTAAGCAGAAGAGATAAGCATTAGTCTTGTCATCTCAATTACTTCCTTGGTAATACTATTTCAATTGTTTTGCTCCTCAAGGAATAAAATTCTTTTGAATTGAGTTTTACTTTATATCTTTTCTGCAACATCAAGTGGTACCAAAGCCTTGATCAGTCTGATGGCAAATACCAATAACCAATCCAGTTGTGCAGATCAGGAAGGCAGGTCTTTGGGTAGTTTTCCATACCCATGATAAGTGACATGAAAGGATAGAACGCATGCTAAAATTGGCTACACTTTGGCCTTGTGGCAATAAGAAACATAACCTAGATCAAGTTTAGGCAGACGAGGTGGATCATGGACAATGGTTCATGAGAATGATCTTTTACACGACATATAGTCTATGTAAATTCATCTATTTATGATTGTGGGTAGATGGCGAACATAGTAGTAGAAGATGTACACTCTAAAGATGTAAAAGAACTTGATCATGAGCAAGAAAATCGTTATGAAGATGTAGACATTACTATAGAAGCAGATGAAAGGAATAGAGTTTTGTGTGGTATAGACAAGATCAATAGTTCATATATATGTCATGCCAAGAAAATTGACGAGTGACTATAATTAAGATGTGCCCAAAACTTTTAAAGAAGAGGAATAATTTTTTCTACATTTTCTTAGTTGATTGACAAATCAAATATAAGGGTTGAGAACATACCAGAAATTGAATTTGAAGTCAAACCAAATGTCAAGAAATATCTCATATATGCCAGAATGCATTTGTCAAAACTGAAATACAAGAAACACGATATCTCTGGGAAAAAATGATGAGGAAGATTATGTCTTCAATTGACCAGATGACTTAACAATTTAATTGAAGCCATATCCTCCTGATTCTTAATATAACTCAATGACAAGTTCTATCTAAGTGGGGAGATTGATGTGGGACAAAAATTTAGGAAAATAAAATTATTTAGGAATATCTTTCATAATTAATTTTCTTATTTACCATTTGCTTCAGCTAAGAAAGTAATTCTTAAAATCAATGACCATAAAATTAATAATATAGAAATCCTGAAAATACAAATCATACATAAGAGGCTAACTTACACGTTTGATGCTTGCTAGACGGGATTTATAAATCTCATCCTGAATGAAGAAATCTTCTTCTTGTATTCCTGATTCTGTTTCCACTGTATCACCCTTGTCTTCAAACAATAGTAAACACGGTTAGCATCCAGAATGTTGCCAAAGAAACAATGATGACTGAGATACCTAGAATCTCTCGACCTCTCATTGCATGTTCATGGAGTTATAATCTGGGAACTACTTCTGGACCCTACAATCTTATTAGCTATGGAAGTTGTAGGATATATATCTCAAGTAGATGCCTCAAAGGGATTTGAGCCCTTGACCTTTTAGTTGAAACCAAGGGCTTTTACCATAATGCCCAACCCTTGGGGTTGACAGAGGATTCAGAATCCACATCCCCAACTCAGATAAACAAGAATGTAGTGTGAAGTATAAATATAAGAAAACTTGCAGTATGATATGTACAGCAACAATTTGACCAGATAGCAGACAACTAAACAAGTTGATATGACAATGGGATAACTCAAGGCATCAAACACAATTCTGACAGCATCCACTAATATATCAAGACAAGCCCTTGACCTTTTAGTTGAAACCAAGGGCTTTCACCACAATGCCCAACCCTTGGGGTTGACAGATGATTCAGAATCCACATACCCAACCTAGATAAACAAGAATATAGTGTAAAGTATGAATATAAAAATGCTTGCATTATGATATATACAGCAACAATTAGACCAGATAGCAGGCACGTAGCTTAGTTATGTCCAGAATAATACCCATACAAACGATGCCAGCATGGTTTACCCACATGAATGAGGAACCATGAGGAAGAGAGACAAGAGGGGGTGGGGGAAAGAGAGGTTGTAAAGAATAATGCATTGATATTTAGCTGAAGGAATAACATGAAGTAAATTATATTATCAAATTCAGTGCACAGCTATAGAGGCCTATTGAAGAATCAAACAACTTAAAAGAGCTTTAGATTAGGGTGACACAAACATCTTTGAGAAGTCCTCTCCCTAACTCGATATAAGGATGGCTGTATTCGTGAATTACGTTTAGAAACTACCGGAAACAATACACCAAGTGTAGGAAAGCATGAATTTTAATTGTTGAAAGATGTTTTACCAGATTGCCTTTTCTTTAGTGACTTCCGTTGGCGCTCAACAGCCTCCTTAGTTTCTAACAATTGTCTCTGAAAAAGAAAGAGAATACCAAAAAAGATCCAAATCAATCAAAGCACACAGATAAAAAAAAAATTGTAATTTGGAACGGACTGGGTAAAATAAGATAAGGGTGGTAGAAGGATCAAAATTTTAGAAGAAATCCGAAAAAAAATCTCATAAACTAGACAAAAATA